ATACTGGGAGCACTGGGAGGGCACTGGAGTTATACTGGGAGGCACTGGGCCATACTGGGAGGCACTGGGGTTATACTGGGAGCACTGGGAGGGCACTGGGAGGCACTGGGGCTCATACTGGGCCATACTGGGAGCACTGGGAGGGCACTGGAGCCATACTGGGAGGCACTGGGGCCATACTGGGCCATACTGGGAGCACTGGGAGGCCACTGGGAGGCACTGGGGCTATACTGGGAGGCACTGGGCCATACTGGGCCATACTGGGAGCACTGGGAGGGCACTGGGGCCATACTGGGGCCATACTGGGAACACTGGGTGACACTGGGGCTATACTGGGACGTACTGGGGTTATACTGGGCCATACTGGGAACACTGGGAGGCCACTGGGGCCATACTGGGAGCACTGGGGCCATACTGGGAGGCACTGGGACGGTACTGGTCCATACTGGGAGCACTGGGAGGCACTGGGGCTCATACTGGGCCATACTGGGAGCACTGGGAGGCACTGGGGCTCATACTGGGCCATACTGGGAGCACTGGGAGGCCACTGGGGCCAAACTGGGCCATACTGGGAGCACTGGGAGGCCACTGGGGCCATACTGGGAGGCACTGGGGCCATACTGGGCCATACTGGGAGCACTGGGAGGCACTGGGGCTCATACTGGGCCATACTGGGAACACTGGGTGACACTGGGGCTATACTGGGAGGTACTGGGGTTATACTGGGACATACTGGGAGCACTGGGAGGCACTGGAGTTATACTGGGAGGCACTGGGCCATACTGGGAGGCACTGGGGTTATACTGGGAGCACTGGGAGGGCACTGGGGCCATACTGAGCCATACTGGGAGCACTGGGAGGGCACTGGGAGGCACTGGGGTTATACTGGGAGCACTGGGAGGGCACTGGGAGGCACTGGGGCTATACTGGGAGGCACTGGGGCTCATACTGGGCCATACTGGGAACACTGGGAGGGCACTGGAGCCATACTGGGAGGCACTGGGGCTCATACTGGGCCATACTGGGAGCACTGGGAAGGCACTGGGAGGCACTGGGAGGGCACTGGGAGGCACTGGAGTTATACTGGGAGGCACTGGGGCCATACTGGGCCATACTGGGAGCACTGGGAGGCACTGGGGCTCATACTGAGCCATACTGGGAGCACTGGGAGGGCACTGGGAGGCACTTGGGCTATACTGGGAGGCACTGGGGCTCATACTGGGAGGCACTTGGGCTATACTGGGAGGCACTGGGGCTCATACTGGGCCGTACTGGGAACACTGGGAGGCACTGGGGTTATACTGGGAGGCACTGGGGCCATACTGGTCCATACTGGGAGCACTGGGAGGGCACTGGGGCTCATACTGGGCCGTACTGGGAGCACTGGGAGGCACTGGGGCTCATACTGGGCCATACTGGGAGCACTGGGAGGGCACTGGGGCTCATACTGGGCCGTACTGGGAACACTGGGAGGGCACTGGAGCCATACTGGGAGGCACTGGGGCCATACTGGTCCATACTGGGAGCACTGGGAGCGCTGGTGGGGAGTGTGGGCAGCCTTTCCAAGATGGCGGCGCTCTCCTCGGCCTCACCGCCGCTTCTGCGCCTGCGCGGATCCCGCCGGGACAAAATGGCGGCCGCGGCGCGCGCGCGCAGAAGATGGCGGCGCCTCGGGGGGGGTGGGAGGAGAATGAGGAGGAGGGGGCGTGGCCTCGCCGCGCGCGCGGGAGCGGCGGCGGCCAATGGGAGCGCGGCGGCGGCGCGGGCGCGCAGGCGCAGTGCGGGTTCCCCCCTCGCCGCCGCCATTGCCCCGAGCGCGGCCCGCGCCGGCCCCGCCGCCGCCCCCGAGCGCCCCGAGCGGCCCCGGCGCCGCCGCCGCCGCCGCCGCCGCGGGTGAGGAGCCGCCGGCGGGCCCGGGGGAGGCGGGCGGGGGGCGCGGGGCGGGGCCGCCGCCGCTTCTCGCCGCTTTGGTTTCTTTTCC